TAGTCTTAGGGTAGAATGTAAGAATCCTGACCCTTAATGTAAACAGTTCTTCCTATTACATTACACTTTTTTGGGGGTGTGTGTATGTGTGTGTGTGTGTGTGTACATACTTTATAATTGTACTGAAACTTCAACTTTAAAAAATATTTTATGTTTAATCTCCCATTTATCACTCTAGGTACCCCAACACTTCAGCTTAAGGCTAAAACCAAAAGTTTTGCCTAAACCAATGAGCTATTGGTCATAAACTGAGAAAGGGAATGTGAAAGAGTGAAAACTTTATTAATTTTTCTCCAATCATATTAAATATTTATAAGCATTTGGACTGTGGCTTGAAGCAGAATTACTCGTTATTTTTTCCTTATGTGGATAGTCTCTTATTATGTCGTAAATAAACTTATTTAATGTCATTTCTAAGAAACCATATTAATTGCTTTCTGAGCAGGGACTGGTACTTTCCTGAAGGATTACTAACATTCTTTTATTTATTTGTTTAAGTATTTGTATGTATATGAAAACTAAACTAAATTGGGGCTGTCCTTCCCCTTCTTTTTAGCATTAGGTACTCCATTTAGCCTTTTGCTATTTTGGGGGAGGTTTTGTTTATCTTCCAAGGTATAAAACAGAATGACAAATGACAACATGTACTTAGGAATACTGAACGAAAGTTTGCCTAGGGTCATATAGTTTTTAAGTAGCACAGCCAGAACTTCAATCCAGGTCTCTTGATTCACAATTTTGAGTTATTTCTTTAAAAGCAGGAGGTTTCTCTCTCTCTAGTACAGTGAGGTATACCCAATTCAGGTCCTCATACTAAATATATTCAGTAACTAAAAGTATACACCAGCCATTTCCATCCCCGATCCAATGTTTGGCTTTCTACTCAACTTCATCAAGACCAACTATTATATCACTTAAATTATTTTATAAAATATGGGGATAACCACAACCCAGAAGCTATTAAAAGAAGGAAAACAATTATCTCTCCATGGTCAATTGTAATCACGTTTCCTTCCCTGATTGGGAGTACAGGTGTAATTTTCCTCTCTCTTTAATATGTATAATTGAAGAACGCTTTTCTGTTAAACTTTGTATCCATTTTAGATTGCACCTCATTTCTTATTTATTTTTCTCTCATCTTTCACTATAAAATGAAGACCATGCTTCATGTTTCTCTGAGGAAATTTAGCCTCAAGAAGTCTTGCCTAGATATCAGGGACAATTCCCTGAAATATGAGAGTAATTGCAAAATTAGTTTTTTAAGTGGAAAAATAAGGAAAAGAGTTTTACTGAGTTGACAATAGTTTTGAAGTCATAAGATGAAGGAATACCTGCATATATTCATTTTAATTCCAAAGGAAAATTTAAAAAATTCCAAATATTTGGAAGTCATTGTGGGCGGTCTGCCCAGAGGCAGAACTTGGATAGAAGGACAAATAATTAATCTTGGATATAGGTATGTTCTGCCTGACCTCTCCTAACCCCCTTTCTGGTGCCTTTTGTTCTAGTGGTAACTCGATTCCTGGACTATCAAAATTTGCTCTTAGGAAAGAATCTGACATTAATCATTTACTCTTTGGTAAGATATTATCTAGAGTATTTGAGGTTCTCTTGCATGTTTGTATAAAATACGATTTGTTTCCTACACTACTTCTGTGGCCCCTTACTTCACACACACACACTCAAATCATACAGAATAAACTTCTATCTATGGTTGAGGCCAAGCCAGTCTGTAGGAGTTCCTCAAAAATAAACATATGAGAAAGGAGTCAGATGTACGGCTGTGATCAATAACACTCTTTTTCCTGAGGAGAAAGTGTCTCTTAAAGTGAACCTAAAAAGAAAACCCACATAACTTGGCTGTATAAACATAATAACTCATAGAGAATGAACCAGAAAGGAGAACCTCTTCATCCTAAGCCATTTAATTCTCTGTTAAAGAATAAGAGATTTTATTTTAATTTGGGGGGATGTAGTATAGGTACTCTATTCTTTACAGTGATACCAAAAAATCTCCTTTGAAGAGATATCAATGAATTATTTTGACAAGTAGAAAATACCTGACAATATAATTCCACATGTTCTGATAACATCAAGAGAGGACTCAAAAAGGAATCTGCCCCTCAGAATTGTAGGGTACTGAAAGTACTGTTGGGCTGGGAGGAGATAATGATTAATAGTGACCGTTAGAGTTAATGGTTATATGCATCAAACTCTTTTCATTAGAGTTAATTTATTACTCAACTGATTGTAAAAATGATTAAATTTCACTTTTAACAATGAGTAAAATTATTATAAAGCCTATTTCTTCCATGATGGCGATTATTAAAGTAAAAATGTCACTCATATTTCCCTTTCCCTTCTACTATATCTAAATAACTCTTTAGTTTGCACAGTTTACCAATTATAGGGCTGCTTTTTGTTATTAGTCTCTATTTTTGATGAGAAGGTATCTATTTGCCAATAGATCATATGCCTTATTATGATTCGATCAAAGTCATAGTTGAAAAAAACATGACTCTGGATGGACTGTGGAATTTATCTACTACTTCAATTGTTTACCCATGTCAATTATTATTAAGTTATTGGGTCGAGTTACATTCAATGATGATTTGCATTATGAAACTATGGTAGGAAACCCTAAAACTACTATTTTTCAAAACTACCAGTGCTAGAAATCAACACATAAGTGTGGATTTAGAGATGAATACAGAGAAAGAGACTGAAGTGTAACTTTTAATTTGGTATATATAAACTGAAGCCTAAAGACAGCTAGGGACTATCAGTTTATAAAGTTTCTGTTTTTTTCAAGGTCTCTAGGTTTCAAGGTTTCTTCTTTTGCTGAGATTTTAAGTTAAAGGCAAAAACCATGTGCTGTATTTCCCTCCTCTTCTACCATGATTCTTTGGTTGGGATGATTAAGACTGAAAATCAACAATAACAACAAAAGCCAGGCTAGAACATTTGTGCCAAGTCTGACTGAAGTCTACCAGAAATGCAGCTAGAAACCAGGAACTGAACTTTGGCAGAGGCATGCATGACCCCATTTGGGAGCAGTGAGCATAAAACAGAATTTAACAGAAATTGCCACCACTGTTCTCTTCAGCTCCGAAGGTAGAGAATTAGCGATCCCCTAGATTGACTGCTTGATGGGGTACTCTGCTTTTATACATGGAGAGTTACAGCATTAAGGTATTTTGAAAATTTTAAATGACTGGAAGTTATTGTTTGGCTCCCTCTTTACCTTAGTAACAAAACCATCCCAGATGGATTGGTGTCCAACTACACTTAAAGATAACCCTTGCAAATCCATTTTCAGATATCTTATCTCTGATATTTAAGAGTTATTTCTTTTCTCCTAGCCTCCAGGCAGTAGCTAGCCTCCAAAATGGTCCCCAATGATCCCTGCCTCCTGTCATTCACATCCTTCTGTTTCCCCTCTCACGATGTACTAGGGTTAGTCTGTGTGACCAAGAGAATAAGGCAGAAATGATGGTGTGTTACTTCAAGGACTAGATTATATAGGACTGTGGCTTCAGTCTTAGACACTCTCTCATTTGGTGTTCTCTTCTTTCTTTTTCTCACTCTCTTTGATCACTTACTCTCTGGGAAACTAGCTGCCATGTCATGAAGACACTGAGGTAGCCTATGAAAAGAACCTGTGGTAAGGAACTGAGGGTGGCTGATAACCTTTGAGTAAACTTGGAAGTGGCTCTCGAGCTCCAGTTAAGCCTTATTGATGACTGCAGCTCTGCTCAACTTGACTGACACTTCTTACAAGATCCTAAGCTAGAACCGCCTATGTAAGCCACTCCTGGATTCTTGACTCTCAGAAATGGTGTGAGATGATAAATGTTTATTGTTTTAAGCTGCAAAACTTTGGCATGAGTTGTTAGCCAGCAATGGATAACCAATATACAACTGTATTGGAATATGAAATACTGGCTTTGTGTTAGGTTGAAGAAATGACCTCTCTTGCTGTTTCTGCAGGAGGCAGTTCATTGCTTACCAGTGCTTTTTCAAGGTGCTTTGGAAAGCTACTGTAGACAGTAACTGACCTGATGATGCCTAGATTCCCTGAAAAGAGTTCATTCAAATTATGAAGGATAAACACATTGCTGTAAGATATCTATTCACTCATATTGGTTCACCTGTGGCCCTGACCCTGCAATTATTATAACTGCTGGCTAGTTAGGTAGCACAATGTGTTTTATAGCTGCTTTTATCATCTCTTACTTTCACAAATGTGGATAATACCAGTTCCAGTCAATACTGGAGAAATCATGGCATTAAAGTTAAGGACTAACTAGTTGAGGCTACTAGGATCAGTAATTTATGGGGTGACATTATTATCGTATTTGATATTTGAGTGTTGGGAAAGGTCATCCATGCTAAAATATTTTCTCCTTCTTCACATTTTATTATCCTGTCTAGATTTTTTGCAATCTGCATTGATTGTTTTAGAAATAGTAATAAAAAAGACAAAATTAAAAATTCAAATATAATTCTTAATGTTTTTTTAACGGAAAATTTGAAATATATACAAAAGTAGAGAGTATATGAAACACTATGTAGCCATTACCCAGATTTAAACATGGCCAATTTTGTTTGATCTGTTCTCCAAACCTCTTGCTGCCTCCCCTGCTCGACACCTGCACTGGGTTATTTGGATGCAAATCTAAAACATTTTATTATTCCATAAGACAAGGTAATTTTAATAATCTCATTTCAAAGCTGGGAAGGAGGCTGTTGCTCTCACAGATTGGTTCAAAGGAAAATGGGATTTAGCAGAAATAAGTTTTTATTCTAGGTAAGTTGCATAACTGGTCATCATCCTATATTGTATGATGTCTTCTAAGGTAAAATGAAATATTCACACATTTTTTTTGTGTAGTGATTTTGTTTTCCTATACTGAATTCTGGAGTTCTGCAATTTTTTCTCTGACATCTTAAGATCTGCTGGAGAGCTGGAAAATCTGTAGATTAGTTATAAAACACACTCCCTCACTGATGGAGTCCTAGAAAATTGTAGTTAGAACTTGGGATGGTGCTTCGTGTGACTACAAATGTACTTGTAGCTAAGGCACAAAAGGGCAGGTCAGTGTGTAGCCACTGAAGGCTGATTTTCCTGACTCCTAGTGTTTTACAAGCACCACCCAGAACTAGCACCAAAGTGGCTCACTCACTCAAATATCTTCCCCTCCCTTCTGTAGAACCCCTGGTTGCTGTGAGGCCTAGATCTCTCCAGGATTATTATTGCATCTGGTGTCATGTTTTTCCAGCTGGTGCACTGCTTCCCTGGAGGAGGCTTCTTGATGTTCACCCCTCTACCAGCCTCCTGCCTGCTCTTTGGGGGCTCATCCTATGACCCTACTCTACACAGGCAACCTCTGCTTCTGACCTAAACTGTGATTAAATGGATGGGTTTAAAAGCTGCTTATAGACAAGGGCTTATCATAAAAGTAGTGTTAGAACTGACTATAATTAAAATTCCAGTGGTGTGAATTTCAACTCTGCCCTGCTCCTACCACATTCAGGCAAATCAGAATATAATTTTTGATGCAGTAGCTTTGGCATTTTTTTTTTAAAGAAATAAGGAATGAATGTGCTTACAGTACCTGATATTTGAATGCCTTCAAAACAGAAATGAAAAATCACTAATACTTCAAACACACTTCTATTTTGTACACAAGCTCAAAATAAGCTGGATCAAGGATATATTTTGAGGACTATATTCAGAGGGTCAGACAATATCCTTAAAGAGCATATTTTAAAAAGGACCCCCTTTAGCAGACTTAGCTGTCTTCCTAATGACCACCCTCACCTCCTTGCCTTGCAGTCTGGCTGCCAGTGGTTCTGTTTTGGGGAGTGTTTCCTGCTTTGTCTTCTCTTAGGGGGACCTCCTGGCATTAGCCTTGGCTGTCTTTCCATGACTTTGTCTCTTGGCTCATGGATCGATTTTATTGTTCATTTTACTGACCCTGAATACTTTCATTTCTCATCTTTTTCTAGTCCTGCATTATATTGACTCAAGTTGAAAAAGCAGAAGAGAAAAAAGATAGGTATAAAGAAAGAAAAAAATAGGACGGCAGCAGTGTTAAAAAATAAGGGAAAAAAAGTAAGAAGAGCACGAAGAAGCCACCATATACCTTTGCTTGAAAGGTATATGTCAACATTTTAAAAAGTAGATTGTAAAACCAGATATTGCTACTTTAAACAGTAGATGTAGGACAACAGTGGAAACATTGCATGCGTGGTTAATAGGTCATTTAAACATCTAAGTCAAAATAGCTTTCATACCTCCTCAGCAAGGAGAGTGATTGTTGGGGTAGTGGTTCAGTGAGATTACAGACAAAACTTCTTTGACTGTAAAAGATTAAGGATGGGATGACCATTAGGAACGTGTGTGTACCCTAAATATAACCACAGTAGCTTTCTTACAATATAACCCAAGTCAGTGGGGTCCCCTTTCAGAAGTTAGCTTCCCCTTTCAAAAAAGAAAATAATGGGAAATGTAAATATATAGAGAGAGTGCTGAGGATCACTTTGGGGTGTTAGCAGGCAACTTACTTCCTTAGTATAGAGTAGGTATTCCAAAAGCGTCTACTGCCCTGAAGGAGCCAAAGACGGATTTTAGCCAGAGCTGAGTATGGGCCCCCGGAGACCACTGACTTGTGCTACAATATCCTCAAATCTGGCTCTCTCTGGGGCTCTGGAGGAGTCTTAGTGCACTGAAAGATTCTTCATCTCCTTACCCCCAAAGAATATTTTGATCAATGGGAAAAAACAATTCCCATCATATCTGAATTGGGACAGAAAAGACTTGCCTTTGAGAATATCACTTGCTCCTGGGTGCTTCATCGCTGTTGGCCAGAACACATAAATGGCCTGATGAGGAGGGCTAAGAAACCTGGAGGTATGAAAAGGCCAAATGATAGGATTTGTGAATAAACAATTTCCAAGCTATCATCTCCACAGCATTAAAAAAAAAGGTCACCTTGGAACCACTGGCCTAGGACATCCTTTTAACTATTTACCACTGATCCACATGCAGTGATAAAAATAACTTCGTAAGACTAACATGGGAATGAACCTGATTTTACAAAATAGCTTAAATTACATGTGGCACAAAAGACACACTAAATTCAGCTACCCCACTTATAAGAATTATGTTTCTGTTCATACATAAATTAGATGTGGAAATTTGATTTTAAAGTGTAGGAAACACTTTCAAAATGTGATCATATGAAATTTAAATATATATGTTTCATATAGAATGTATCAAAATATGAAATTATGCCTTAAATATTTTTGACAGCTTTATCAATAGTGGCATCTTATACTTTATGGCAAGAGCATTAACTACTTTTAGCATTCAGTTGTCTAGAACTTACCTAGCAAATGTTTTAGCAGACATCTATAAAAATACTTTAGAGTAGCAGTTCTCAAATGTGGTCTGGAAACCCTTGCTGGGTCCTTCAAACCCTTTCAGGGGTCAGTAAGGTCAAAACTATTTTCATAATAAGACTAAGACATTATCTGTCTTTTTCACTCTCATTCTCTCATGAGTGTAAAACGGAGTTTTCCAGTAGTTACATGGCATCTGATATCTCAACAGACTGAATTCAGAAGCTGATCTGAGAGTCCAGCTGTCTTCTATTAAGCAAGACATTAAATAGATTTGCAAAAAATGTAAAGGAATGTCATTTTTTCTCATTTTTTCCTGGAAAATAGCTATTTTTAATAAAAATATTTGACTTATATATTGGCTTATCATTATTATTTAAAAATAAATTGATAAAGAAATATTTAAATATTTCTCAATTTAATTTCTAGTATCATATAGGTAGGTAGGTAGATAACACAGACATAAAAAAACATAAAAGCTCTTTAAACAGGGGTCTCAATTTTTAAGCTTATAAAGAAATCTTAGAGATCAAAGAGTTTAAATTTACCTAAAAACTTAAAATGTTAAAAGTTTGTTGGTTTAGAGTGTTAATTGATAAACAGCAACTCTTGATTTTATATGTTTCAAAGAAAATAATTATTTTAAAGTGACTTTTGACTTTGGTTTCCAAAATCTTGGCAATTTATAATTTTATGATTAATCTGAGAGGTAGGCAGGCCAGAAATTATTCGGACTTAAAATACAAAGAGATCAAGAAACAAAAAATTTTAGGTTGCATAGTATGTTAGTAGCAGAATAGCAAGAGAACATAAAGTACATTCAACTCTATCCCAGTAATTTGGCTATTTAATTCAGCTCCTCCTTATCCTATACAGGGTGATTGTGACATCCTGCAATAGAATGGTATTGCAAAAGAACATGGAACCACCTGTAGCCACTTCCACATTAAATATCTTCGCTTAAGCTAACTCAGTGCCCTTTACTGGAGCAGACAGCTAAGCACAATTCAATGTTTTCACACCATTCAAAACCACTGCTAACTTCTATTGTAGGAGTTCTTTTTACTTTTTCTGTAATTCATTTATTTTTGGCAGGGGGAGGTAATTAGGTTTATTTGTTTATTTTTAGAGGAGGTACTGGGAATTGAACCCAGAACCTCATGCATGCTAAGCATGTGCTCTACCGCTCGAGCTATATCTTCCCCCTATTGTAGGAGTTCTTTATATTTTCATCATTTGCTGATACAGCTTATTTTTTACAAGATTTCCCTTTGAAATCAGGAACCAGATAAAGGTGCCACTATTCTATGGTCTCTTCAACATTGTACTGGAGGTCCTAGGCAGTTGGGTAAAGCAAGAAAAACAAGTACAAGCTATACAAATGGAAAGGAAGAAATCAATTATAATTATCCACAAATAATTGTAGGTAGAAGATCTAAAAGAATATAAAGTAGCTAAGACTGTGTGATATTGGCATAAAGTAGATAAATGGGCCAATAGAATGGAAAACAGAGGTCAGAAATAGACTAATGTTGCATGGACACTTGATTTATGACAAAGGTGGCAATGTAGAACAAGATATTTTGAACAAGTCATGCTGAGACAATTGGATACTTATATCAAAAAAAGAAGGAGGAGGAGGGGGAGGAGGGAAAAAAGGAGGAGGGGCAGGAGAATGGGAAGGTGAAGGGGAATTTCAGGTAAACTGTAGTGAAAATGTGAAAGGAAAAACTATAAGTCTTCTAGAAGGTAATATAGGAGATCAATCTTCATTACACATTCACAATGATCTACAAACGACCAACAAACATACAAAAAAGGCACTTGATCTCATTAACAATTAGGGAAACAAATTAAAACCATAACAAGATAACAGTATATAATAGTTAAAACTAAATAGACTGAGAATCACATGTCAGAGCAATGGGAACCCTCATGTTGCTGGGACAGATTTTGTACAATCCCTTTGGAAAACAGTTTGACATTTCATTATCTATTAACTATATACACATTTGATAACCTAGGAATTCCAATATTAGATGGGTACTTTACAGAAATTCATTTATATGCCCACCTTGAGACATATGCAAGAATGTTTATAGCAATCTTATTCACTATAGTCCTAAACTGGAAACAACTCAAATGTCTCTTAATTGTAGAATAAACTGATATACACATTCAGTGGACTACTATACAGCAAGGGAAATGAATATACTGCAACTACATGCAACAACATGGATGAATTTCATAAACATAATGTTAAGAACCAGATACAAAAGAACATACTAAATATATTTACGCAAAAAACAGTAAATAGATGCACACTTTATTGTTAAAAGCATTAAAAAAAACAAGGAAATGTGTATCATAAAACTCAGGACAGTGGTTACCTTTGGCAGGTAGAGAGGGTGAAATGATTGGGAGAGGACATAAAGGGGACTTCTGGGGCGCTGGCAAAGTTCTAATTTTCAACCTAGATGGAAGTTACATGGGTATTTGATCTATGATAATTTATGCTTTGGTTCACTTTTCTCCATTGTATTTCATAATAAAAATATATAAAAATGCAAGAATTCCTTTGTTCAAGGATCACTCATAATGAAATGTGATGAAATGAAAGTAATTAAAATCAGTGCAATAAAGAAGTGTGGTGCTTTTTTCAGGAGTTTATTTCACTTTCTTGTGCCTCATATTAGAAGAGATGTTACAAACACAAATAACGGCTACTCCATTTAAATTCTGTCATGGGTTCACCCCTTGATTCTGTGCATGTGATCTGCCCTCCACATGAATCCACGTTATTAAGGGCCAAGTATACCAGAACTCAGAGGAAAAGGTTCATGGAGATGGCCTTTCTGAATGTGATATTCACTGAGGTTTTGCTTTTGGTGCAAATCATAAGCATCTCAATGGACCATGCTTTGTGTGAAACATTCGTTCCTCTTAGGTAGCATGAAATAAGTATCATGAATTAAGTATCCAGGCACTCTGTTTGGGCTTTGCTCCTGTAAGGAGAGGGGTTATGAAACCCTTCATCAAGGCCATCTACATTACATTTATTCCACTTACAAATTTTACATGATTGCAAGCAAATGTGCTAATTGGTATTTTAATTCTGTTCTAGAAACATCAGAAAGAGTGTGAGAAGCTCAAAGAGTAGAGTTGCTGAACTCTCAAACTTGAGGAGCCTTTCTCCTTAGGGCACTCAGCAATTTACTCCTCCTGCCTCCTTTTTTTCACTCCTAGTCTATTTGAAATAGCCAGTGGTTAGAAGGAGCAGCTAAATAGGAATGGGGCTCAGTGATTCTGTAGATAGGCTGAATATTTAATACTGAACTATCTAAGATTTGGAGATCAGGCATGCAAATCAAGTCCTCCTCACCACTGCCTGAATTTTTTTCAGAACTATTAAGTAATTATTTTGCATCAGTCTAACTCCTGAAATGTCTTAATTTTTTCACACAGCCTGTGTTGGCAAGAAGGTGGCTATTCAGAAAGGAGGTGAGTTCATTGAGCTTAGAATGCTTATGGCAACCCTTTCTCTTACAATTCCCAAGACTTATCTTTAAATTGCTTGTTATGCAAAAAGGAACTTTACTTATGTTTGATGTCTATAGGCTTATAAAAGCCTATCTAATCGATTGACTGAAAACGGTTATGGAGCACTGTCCTGAGATGCCCCTAATTTCACCAAGTACCATTCTCCAGAAATGAAGCCAACATTTTGTAGATAAATGAGAAGTCTTAAGAACAGTTTTTGGGTAATTTTATCTATAGCAGCAGAAAAACTTTCCCACATTAGGGGAAAGGAAGGGCACAGTAGCCAGTAACAACAGAAAAAGAACCTAGGTTGCAACTCAGCATTCGCATTTATTAGCTGCATGCCCTTGGGCAACGCAGTGTCTCTGAGCTTCAGTTTTTTCATCTGTAAAATGGAGATTACTTACTTGAGATCTAGCAG